ATTATATCAATAGAATCTGGTGGAGAAAATAATTCTTTCCTCACACACTTCATTCTTTTTATAACGTGGCTCGGTGCTACATAAATTCATCTAAAATGTACTTGCTCATTCTTTAAATAAACCGTAAGCAGATCTTTGCCATCAGGTTGATTTACACTAGTGTAGACCTCATGTCTGTCAGAGTAGAACTGCTCACTTGGATTTTCAGTGACTGATCTTTCTAGATGTGGATTGCAAGCCCTGTCTTTTTAGTTGTCACTGAGCTTTTCAACCATTTCTACCATGTAGGGACTCCTTTATTCATCCTCTTGTGTGTTTATTAAGCTGTAAAATGTGCCAGACACTTTATATCACTGAGTGATGCGATAATAAAGAATATAAAAGTTATCAGATATAGTCATTGCTTCTCTTACTTTGTAATGTGAATGGAGTGCTAATGGCATAGTCTATAATGTTTGTGATGCTAACTAAAGGGCCATATGTCTTCAGTAGTTTGAATCCAGCAGCACCTCCATCAAAGACAAATTGGCAGTCACCTCCGATTAAGATTTACCACCTCAGAAACCCAGCAGATGGTCACTATCGGTTGAAGGTGACTTGATGGCATGACAGGTTGTCAGGATATGGCAGGGTTTGGATCTGTTGTTCATGGAGTTGTTCTGAGTTACAGTTGAGTTGATGACATCTACCAACCATAATATATTTAAATGAAATTTATGGTTTTGTCATGACTAGGGTTATGGGGGTAGGTAAATCAGAGATAATAAGGTTAGCTCAGGATAGAACAGGGTGCAGAGCTGTACATATAGTCTCGATGAATCACAAGCGATTTGACGGCACATAATATCAAATAACATACTTTGTCTTTTCCACTCTTTTACTGAGCCTAATGTTCAGAGACTCAGTTTCTTGCTTTTGTTTCTGAAGTTGTGGGTCCTTTACTAGAAGATTCAGTTGGACCGTATCCTTAACCTTCTAAGCCCTCACTGTTAGCAATTAACATAGATCTTCATTATTCTTTACAATGTTGTAATTTATGGTTTATGTTATGTTTTCTCAATTATACTTAGTTCTTCTGATGACAGGGCTATATTCATTTATGTCTGGCATATTCTTCATAAATGTCTCCTGGATAAAAGGAAGTGGTCAGAATTCCCAGAGAGGTGGTCTTATTTTTAAGTTGATTACTTACTGTCTGCGACTGGGTGGCTTTGGTAGTCTGTAGGTTTGACTGACTGATTTGGATATCCTTTGGCCTTTTTTTTTGACAGGTATAAATCTGAACTTGAACGAAGTCAGCAGTCTGTACCGCCTGCAGATGTCTCTCTGAATTTAGGCAGTACCCCACAGAAAAATTTTTCCACGCCCCTCACACCGAGTCATTGTTACAGTGGTAAGGATTTTGTTTCTTGGTGTAGATAAGGCTTCTTTTGAGAGATTTTTAATCAAGCAAATAAATGAGTTAATTCAGTGTTAAATGTGTTAAATCCAATTTTCATAGGGTTTATTTTTTAAATAAAGTAACCACTTTGTTAACATACCATTTGTATACTGAACTACGTCATCTTACACAACTAAATTTTTAAATTTCCAACTTTCTTGTTATAGGGTGTGTTTGTTTTTAGAATGTTTGAAGCACCTTTGTTTCTGTATATTTTGATGTTTCATTAGCATTTTGATCAGTATTTTCACCTTCTGTTCCAAGATGTTTTCTACCTGATATATACTATGATACTCTTTAGATTTTCTTTTGCCGTGATTTTTGACCTGTGAAATGCTGTGATTTTCCTCCATGAAACCAGTGATTGAAAAAGTATGTTTCATTATATTTAGGTTCTAAATATGAAGACCTAAAAGAAAAATACAGTAAAGAAGTTGAAGAACGAAAAAGATTAGAGGCAGAGATTAAAGCCTTGCAGACTAAAGTAAGTTAATTATAGGTCATAAACTAGAGCGCTCTGGTGGCGCATTGGTAAGAAGCTTCACTGCAGTCTCAAGAGGTTCAAATGAACTGCTCCACAGGAGAAAGATAGACAGGCTCTTCCCAGGTGATTAACTGCTTCTGAAAACCCACTAGAAGGTCAGCTATAGTTTGATTCTAATTTGGTGGTACACAGTAACAACATACCAGATGATGCTATTATGGAAATTTTTTTTTCTTTTTTATTGATTTTAACGAAAGTTTACAAAGACTTAGGGCTTCTATTCATTCATCGTTGCACTTTTCTCCCTGCTCACCCACTTCCCCCAATTCACTCTTCTCCTTGAAAAGTGAAAGAAAAACTTTCATTTTTATGCAATCCCTCCCCTCCAGTCCACTCCACTGTGTAGCCTTCATTCTGGACTTCTGTCATGACAGTAATGCCCAATCA